TCCAGAGAGGCAACAGGAAGAAGCGAGACATTGCGTTCCCGCCAGAGTCCATAGTCCGTCTTGGCAAAGTTCTGCGGATGCAGTTGCAAGCAAAGAACACCCTCAGCTGGGTGGCGATGTCGGGCACGCCCTTACCGCCCTTGAGGGGTTCCTTGAACATGACTGCCCGCTTCACTCTGTCCATCTTGGAGCCCCAGATGAAGTGAAACACCGCCCTGGTGATGGCCTTGCAGGTGTTGACCCGAGGGGGCCAGGCCTGGGCGAGGTACTGCAACACAGGGAGAATCTCGCTGCGGAGTACCAGTGTCTTCCCTTCGATGGTGAGGTCTCTGAGGCTCCAGAGTCCAAACTTTTGGCGCATCTTGGCCAGTCTCTCCTCCCAAGACTTCAGGGCTGCGCCCTCGGCACCAAACCAAACTCCCAAAACCTTCATGAAGTCTGTCTTGATGCCAAAGGGCATGGATGCAGAAGAAGGCAGGAACCACTTTCCGAAGAGCATGACTTCCGACTTCCCGCAGTTGACCTTTGCCCCCGAAGCTTGGCCGAAGTCCTCGCAGGTCTGGACGAGCAGGTCGATGGAGCGCTGGTTGGCACAGAACACCGTCACGTCGTCCATGTAGAGCGAGCACTTCACTTCCCGTCTGTCTGGTCCCGGTGCGGTGATTCCCCCGATCTCTGGATTCCGTCTGATGCATTCGGCGAAGAGCTCTATACAGCAAACAAAAAGCAGAGGTGAGAGAGGACAGCCTTGTCTGACCCCGGAGAGGACCGGGAAGGGGTCAGTCTTCCAGCCGTTCACCTGCACGGAACTACAAATGTCATTATACATGATGTCAACATATGAACAAAACATTTCCCCGAGACCAAACCTGCGCAGGGCTCTGCACATAAAACCCATGGGAGACACGGTCAAAGGCCTTTTCCTGATCAAGACTGACCAGGGCCGCGTGCACACGGCGGTCCTTGATGTATTGGACCGTGTCCCGGACAAGCGCTAGGCTGTCCGCAATCCTGCGGCCAGGAATGCCACAAGTCTGATCCGGGTTGATGATCTGTCCGATGACAGCCTTCAGCCTGTTCGCCATGACTTTGGCGAGGATCTTGTAGTCCACGTTCAGGAGAGAGATGGGACGCCAATTTTTCAAATCACATCTCTCCCCCTTACGCTTGTACAGGATCGTGATCATCCCCTCCCTCAACGAAGGAGGCATCTTGCCCTCCACCACCATCTCCTCGTACAGCTCGAGCAGGTCCGGGCCCACGAGGTCCCACAGCGCTACATAGAGCTCCGCTGGGAGACCGTCGCAGCCCGGGGTCCTGCCTTGCCTAAAGGATTTAGCGGCAGAGTGCAGTTCCTCCAACGTCAAGGGGGCGTTGGTGGCCGACAAACCTGCAGGATCAATAGCGTTAGAGATACCTGACAAGAACCTGTCGGCCGCTTCCGAGTTTGTTTCTTTGGGGGAGTAGAGGTCGGAGTAGTAGTCGCTGACCACTTCCATCACGGCCTCCTTCCCCTTCTGGAGCGTTCCAGTCTTGTCGCGCAGTTCCGACAGGGGTGTGTGTCCTGAGTGGAGTTTCCTGAAAAAGAAAGAGTTACACTTCTCACCTTTCTCGAGATGCTCCACCTTGGCACGGAAGACAAGCTACAGATGGATCGGTTGCAGGAATCACTGACGATGGTGCAGTTGGACAACGCTATAAGCTGTGGCCCAAATGAAGACATGCTTGGTTCTCACCTGGGTCAACAGTCAAGTAACGTTTTTTATCGACATTCCACATTCCAAAAGTAAATAATTAGTAGATAAACTTTCTCAGTCCTCAGTGTCTTGGTCCAGCAAAATGGTCTCTCCACTTTGAAGTGTTCCAGGACCTCTGTCATCAGTGGAGCGATGCTGGCCATAGAGCTTCTGGGATCCCAGTTCAATAACAAGGTAAACACGTTCATGGCCAGGTATCCTCAGATCTTTGCAGTGGATGCACTGGTGACCTAGTGGGATCATTTTGGCTGCTCTAAGTTTTTTGGCTTTGGCATAGATTTTCCTTCTGCTGCTTCACATGATGGAGGCAATGGTCATTCTAGTGGCATGGAACTAGCCTAGAAGAACTTTTTGCAATGTCGGACACCTGGTGGACTCTCCATTGGATTTTTTGGACTGTTTGTTTTTTAGGGCTAGGAAGTAATCTTGGAAAGTCTATCATTGCATGTGAAAGGGTTACTTGTGGGGTTACATGTGTGAGGAACTGAAGTTTCATTCTAGATGGTTCTCCATGGGACGTAAAGTTGTGTTCAAAATAATAGCAGTCAGACATCACTAACCTGAACAATCACTGTTTTTGCTAGAAATGATATTTCTACATGGCAAATAATTTTACTAGCAGGTGTAGTAGAGTAATAGAAATCCAACAGACCCAACTGTCATGACATGCATGCTGCTGATTCTGTGTAATTGAATCACTAATTGAAAGGGGCATGTTCAAAATAATAGCAGTGTGGAGTTCTATTAGTGAGGTCATTCATTCTTTGAAAAACAGGTAGCAATTATTGCCCTTATTTAAGGAAGGAAGGCAGCAAATGTTGTACATGCTGGTTACAGTGCATTTCTCTCTGAAATTCTGAGGAAAATGGATCGTTCCAGACATTGTTCAGAACAGCGTACCTTGATTAAAAAGTTGATTGGAGAGGGGAAAACTTATAAAGAAGTGCAGAAAAAGATAGGCTGCTCAGCTAAAATGATTGCAAATGCTTTAAAATGGCAACCAAAACCTGAAAGTCGTGGAAGAAAGCGAAAAACTACCATTCGAATGGATAGAAGAATAGTCAAAATGGCAAGGACTCAGCCAACAATCAGCTCCAGGAAGATCAAAGAAGGTCTAAAGTTACCTGTGAGTACTGTTACAATTAGAAGATGCCTATGTGAAGCCAAGCTATCTGCAAGAAGCCCCCGCAAAGTCCCACTGTTGAAAAAAAAAGAAATGTGCTGAAGAGGTTACAACTTGCCAAAGAGCACATTGACTGGCTTAAAGAGAAATGGCACAACGTTTTGTGGACTGATGAAAGTAAGATTGTTCTTTTTGGGTCTAGTGTCCGGAGACAGTTTGTCAGACGACCCCCAAACACTGAATTCAAGCCACAGTACACTGTGAAGACAGTGAAGCATGGTTGCGCAAGCATCATGATATGGGGATATTTCTCATACTACGGTGTTGGGCCTATTTATCTCATACCAGGGATCATGGATCAGTTTGAATACATCAGAATACTTGAAGAGGTTATGCTGAAGAGGAAATGCCCTTGAAATGGGTGTTCCAACAAGACAACGACCCCAAACACACCAGTAAACGTGCAAAATCTTGGTTCCAGACCAACAAGATTGATGTTATGGAGTGCCCAGCCCAATCCCCAGATCTTAATCCAATAGAAAACTTGTGGGGTGACATCAAAAATGCAGTTTCTGAGGCAAAACCAAGAAATAGAGAAGAACTGTGGAATGTAGTCCAATCATCCTGGGCTGGAATACCTGATCACAGGTGCCAGAAGTTGGTTGACTCCATGCAACACAGATGTACAGCAGTTCTCAGAAACAGTGCTTATACAACTAAATATTCATTAAGTCATTCAAAGGAAAGCAAAATCTTCAAACATTTTTCAGTTTATATAGTGAATGTTTGAGTTTGTAAAGAAGAATACAAACACTGCTATTTTTGAACAGTCTAATATTCACTTTTCTTCAATTTGTTTTAGTGGAACACAAATTTGATATATTTGTCTTCTTGTTTTGATTTGGAATAGAACGTGTAGTGTTCCCAATGCATTTGTGTGTATGGAAATAAAAGCTATTAGAAGGATTTTACGCTTTATTCACTTTTTTCAACACACTATTATTTTAAACACAACTGTATCTTGTCTTTTCTCAAGGCCAAGGCACTGATCCAGACCAGCCTGGAGTACCCTCAACGGTCAAATTTCAGCCCTGTTTTTCCAGAGACCTCTGGCTGCTGCTCACTTCCTGGTGAAATCCTTTATACGTAGAGTGGATCACCTAGTTCTCCCCATTTGTTCTCTGGTATCACTGTGGGATCTTAATCTGGTCTTGTCTTCTCTCCTGAGGCTGTCTTCTCTCCCTGGTGCCGGCATCTTTAGTATGGGCACCTCGGCTGTGACAGCTTACTGCTTCACAGCCGGGTGCCACACGCGAGAAACACTGCACTTTGTGAATGGCCCCGTAGTCTTCTGGGACCTGTCATGTGTCCCAGAAGACTACGGAGAGGGAGGGGGAAAGACCACTTGTGATTTTTTTGTTTTATTTCATTGTGGACTGTGACCAGTTACCAAATCACTTAGGTGACCCTTCCTCTTCGAAATGCTAAGCCCCCCTGGATTAGATTCACATTGCCTGTCCATGTCCTGGACAGTGTTGTTAGAGTCCCTCTTCCAATCAGAGTGCAGAAAGCCGGGCAGCCCTGCTCAGATCTCCTGTAGAAGTCATCTCAGGTCACCTCCACCAGCTGCCACGTGTCACTGCTAAAAATAGCCCCACACTGGAGGTGTACTGGCAGAAAATAGCCCCAATCTCTGCAGGTCCCCGGATGTGAGAACTCACCAATCACAGCGGATAATCAGGGATCTGGTTCATGTGTGGTAGGCACCCCTCCCCCGTGTGTCCTCTGCCCTATGTTCGGGAATCTCATGAGACAAATACTTGCTCTGTGTTTTGGACATACAACCAGCCGCTCTGACTGGCTGGAGTTGGGAGCAGCCAGCCAGCGATCTGGCCCTAGTGGAATACATGGAGCGCGCGCCCGCAGGCCTGCGCGCTTCTGTGGATTCCCCGTCTTCATTCTTAAGCTGGGCGCGCGGCCCCAGGAGCGCGCACGCAGCCTGCGCTGTGTTTGTCCTGACGTCATGTTCTCGCCCAGCAACGCGAGCGGGATCGCGAATGGCGGCGCAGAGAGGGGAGTTCAAACCCAACGGAGGCTTGTCCAGCCCGTGACTCGGCAACATGAAGAGGATGAAGAGCGCCAGGGGCCCCGCCGGCTCGGGGGCGGAAGACGAGGAGGGGCCACACTCCGACTTGGCCGATGTAGAGGGTGAGAGAGGCGGGGAGCGGCTGTCACTGCCCGGCGGCTGGACCTGTCACCGGCCGGGGGGCGACACTGCCTGACAGGAGTCGGCGGGGCCCCGGCTGAGGGGGGGACCTGGGTTCAACACTGTCCTCTCTAAGGAGGTGACCTATCACCTCAACACTAGGGGGCCCCATACTGCAGAGGATAGCCAGTACCACTAGGGGCCCCGCACCCAATACTGGGGCCCCTGAATCAGTAGGATAGCCAATATCAATGGGGGCCCCACACCCAACGCTGAGGCTCCTGAATCAGGAGGATAGCCAATACCACTACAGGGCCCCCGCACTCAGCACTGGAGCCCCAATACCAATGGGGGCCCCATACCCAGCACTGGGGCCCTCTAATTCAGGAGGGTAGCCAATACCAATGGGGGCCCCGCAATCAGGAGGATCGCCAATACCAATGGGGGCCCTGTATGCAAAACTGGGGCCACTGACTGAAAAAGGTGTCCAATGCTGCTAGGGGCCTCACATCCCACACTGGGGCCCCTGACAGAGCAGGATAACCAATACTACTAGAGGATCCAGTAGCCAACACTGGGACCCCTGACTGGAGAAGATAGCCAATATCACAAGGGGCCCTACGTCCAACACTGCGGCTCCTGACATTGCAGGATGGCCAATATCCAGTATTTCCAGGGGGCCATATACCCAACACTGGGGCTGACAGAAGGGGATTGCCAAAATCACTAGGGGGCCCTATACCCAACACCTCAGAAATTTGGGGCCCCTAAACCTGGCCTAAGAAGCTTTCCTGCTCTTCACTGGGACTCCTGATTGAGAAGGATATCTGTTGCATCATCAACAGTAAGGTCCCTGTTTTGAGTGAATTACTGTTAACACCAATAACCACGGCTCAGAGTGCGTAGATGTCACTCTCAACACTTCCCATCCTAAACCTAACTAAGGGGGTACCCAGCACTTCAACACTGGGACCCATGACAGGACCTTATCTGTCTCCTTATCACTAGGGTCCCTGTACCCAACACTGGGACCCATGACAGGACCTTATCTGTCTCCTCATCACTAGGGTCCCTGTACCCAACACTGGGACCCATGACAGGACCTTATCTGTCTCCTCATCACTAGGGTCCCTGTACCCAACACTGGGACCCATGACAGGACCTTAAGTATCTGCCTCCTCATCACTAGGGTCCCTATACCCAACACTGGGACCCATGACAGGACTGTATCTGTCTCCTCATCACTAGGGTCCCTGACCCAACACTAGACCCATGACAGACCTTATCTGTCTCCTCATCACTAGGGTCCCTGTACCCAACACTGGGACCCCTCACAGGGTCCCTGTACCCAACACTGGGACCCATGACAGGACCTTATCTGTCTCCTCATCACTAGGGTCCCTGTACCCCAACACTGGGACCATGACAGGATAGTAAGTATCTGATGAGGGTCCCTATACCCAACACTGGGACCCATGACAGGACTGTATCTGTCTCCTCATAAGTATGATGAGACCCCTCATTTCTAGCAGGGCCTTGTACACAACCCTGGGCACCCTTTACCTGACTGTACAGGGGCCTTTTTACCTAAGGAGTATAAGACCCCATTCACACTTGTCATGCAACTTTAATGTCCAAAGATGCGCAAGTCATGTTTTCCAATGATAACCATTCATATACAGTTAGGTCCATATATATTTGGACACAGGTACAATTTATTAGTTCAGGTATTTACCAAAACATTTTCAAGCTATAGTTATATAATGAATATGGGCTGAAAGTGCACACTCTGAGGTTTAATTTGAGGGTATGTACATCCAAATTGGAGGAAGGGTTTAGGAATTACAGCTCTTAAGAGTAGCCATCCCCCCCTTTTCAAGGGACCAAAAGTAATTGGACAATTGAATATAATCATAAATAAAATGTTTATTTTTATTATTTTGTTGAGAATCCTTTACTGGCACTGACTGCCTGAAGTCTGGAACCCATGGACATTACCAAAGACTGGGTTTCCTCCTTTCCGATGTTTTGCCAGGCTCTAACTGCAGCTGTCTTCAGTTGTTCTTTGTTTGTGGGTCTTTCTGCCTTTTAGTTTTGCCTTCAGCAAGTGAAATTCATGCTCAATTGGGTTGAGATCAGGTGATTGACTCGGCCATTGCAGAACATTCCACTTTTCCTTCAGAAGCTCCTGGGTTGCTTTTGCAGTGTGTTTTGGATCATTGTCCATCTGTACTGTGAAGTGCCGTCCAATCAACTGTGCTGCATTTGGCTGAATCTGGGCTGACAGTATATCTGTAAACACTGCAGAATTCATCCAGCTGCTTCTGTCTTCTGTCACATTACCAATGACCCAGTGCCACTGGAAGCCATGCATGCCCATGCCATCACACTGAATCCACCATGTTTTACAGAGGACATTGTGTGCTTTGGGTCATAAGCTGTTCCAAGCCTTCTCCACACTTTTTTCTTCCCATCATTCTGGTACAGATTCATCTTGGTTTCATCCGTCCAAAGAATGCTTTTCCAGCACTGGTCTGGCTTTTTAGATGTTTTTTTGGCAAAGTCTAATCTGGGTTTTCTATTTTTCATGGACAGCTCCTTTGAACGCATGATGTAGGTTCACAGCAATAGATTCCAAATGCAAATACCACACTTAAAATCAACTCCAGACCTTTTACCTGCTTAATTGATGAAGAAATAAAGAAAGAGTAGCCCACACCTGGCCATGAAACAGCTTTTGATTCAATTGTCCAATTACTTTTGGTCCCCTGAAAAAGGGGGGGTGGCTACTATTAAGATCTGTAATTCCTAAATCCTTCCTCCAATTTGGAGGTCCATACCCTCAAATTAAACCTGACATTGTGCACTTTCAGCCCAAATCCATTATATAACTAAAGCTTGAATATATTTTGGTAACTACCTAAAAAACTAAAATTGTGCCTGAGTCCAAATATATATGGACCAACTGTATGTGAAACTGTTGCAGCGACTTCTAAATAGTTCATGTACTACTTTGATCCAACTTTCATGCAACTTGAGGGCCATAGACTTCAATGTTCACCCTCAAAAGTTGCTTGAAAGTCATACCTAAATGTTTTATATGCAACAGTGGGTCTGACTTTGCAGAGGGACAGGTCACATCCAAGTTGCACCCATCCAAAGATGAGAAAATCTGGAGTCGTTCAAGTGTGAATGGAGCCTTACTGTTACCCCAACTCTTCAGTCCCTTTATTTTATTACCTTAATTCTTCCATAGTCTCATGGCTCTCCATCTGACACTAGACTCCCTGATCTCAAATATTTTGACAATGTAGACTTTTAATTTAGGGCCAGTTCACATTACATGCGTTTTAGCTGCTTTTGTCTGCATCCAAAACACACAGAAAGTGGGTTATATGGTTGTCAATGTCATAGTTCACATCAGTGTTTGCAGTTCCTGTTGCAGAAAAAAAAATAGAACATGTTGCATTTTTTCTGCACAGAACTGTACTGGAAAACGCATAAAAACCACACTGGAACGCACATGTCCCTAATTAAATTGAAGAAAAAGAGGGGAAAAAACAAACTGGATTGCATCAAGCGTATCAAAAATGCGCATACAGAAATGCATCTGGACTGCGTTTCTATAGTGTGAACCCGCCCATAAAGAGTATATGTTCTGTTAGCCTAAAGCCTGCAGCCCTATAATGAAATGATACATACAATACATCCTGATCATACCAAGGCACTCCGAGATCTTTCCATACACTGATCTCTACTTCTGCTGTACACCTCTTTAGGCATTCTAGAAAGAGCACCAGTGAGATTCTGTTCTCATCCAAATATCCTCAAAGCGGAACTAAACCCATTGATTAACTGTTTCCCGAAATGGTTTCATTCAAGGCATGCCATTAATAACTGTTCCAATTGCTTGAACTGTCAAGCTTGCAAATGCATGGTGTCCTAACTGATAACGCACAGCTCCATGACAACTGCAGATCAAACCGAGGCTAAGATGACCGCTTCCCTGCTTCTGAATGTGCTTTGTGCCCCCTCATAGCAGTGAGATGCTGGAAGCCCAGAGTTTTAAAGTGCTGTGCTTTCTTTATGTGGAAAGTGATTTTAATTACCTAAAAGTGGTATTAAAGTTACACTATGATACATATATTATGGGTTGTTTTTTTTGTTTTTGTTTTTTACGAAAGCTGGTTCACTCAGAATCTGGTGCACCTGTGCATGGTAGCCAATCGGCTTCTAACCTCAGCTTTTTCAATTAAGCTTTAGCAATAAAACCTGGAAGCTGATTGGTTTCTATGCAGAAGTGCGCAGGATTCTAAGTGAACCAGTTTTGGTAAACCAGACTGTGTGCAGGCAGGCATTTTATTTCAGAAGAGACAGCAGACCTATCTCCTTGCTCACAGGTGTTCCCAGACTATAAACTGAGCTGGGCATGCTCGGCTTATAGCGGCCAGGCCAATCCTGTGTGACTGGATGACTAGCTCCTGTGCATTCGCAGGAATGACGTTATCCCATGCCAGCCAATGAAGATGGCCGAAACCCGGCACACAAGAGAAAATACAGGCAAGGGAGCGTTGAGAAGATGAGTATCCTCCTTTAGTGCCACTTTAAAGTCCCATCATTTCTTGTACGCTATTTTGGGCTGAGAGTTGAAAGGTCAGTGAGGCTGTATTGTATTGGCCTATGCAGCTGGGAGATGATGTTACATAATATTAGCACTCACATTTGAGGTGCAACACAGAAGCGATGGCAATGCAAGCATTCTGTGTAACCCAGAAAAATATGTTGTCCTGCCCCTTTGGTGATTAGGAGCAGGCTAGCTGCAGCAAAACATAGCTATAGAGGAATCAATCAACCATGAAACTAAAAACTGCAGCCACTAGAGGTGAGCCCCCATCATTATAGGGAATAAAACTAGACTAATACCTAGTTAAGGCCTGGTTCACACCTATGCGGTTTTTAGTGCTTTTTGTATTCTGCAGAAACACACTACAGTCCATTTACA